GGGGCAGCATCTTGCAAGCAGTTCGCGTTCAGACGACTTCACGCTTCGGGCTCCACCTCCCCAATACGCACGCTAATTTTGGAGAAAAAGCGCCTTCCTCCTTACGCGCGGCTCAGGTGTGTTGCGCAAAGTCACGGAGATGACCGTGTGCGCTGTGTACAAACAGAGACTTAGATCAGGCGTTCTCATATCGCTTGCACACTTGCATGCTTGTACAAGGCAAGTAACTTGCTACTACATACAATGTGGTTACTGAGAGAAGACGAAGATGTCCAACGGAGAAGGAGCGATCACAATCCTCTCAATTTTCTCCCGGCGTTCAGTTGCATCAGCTCCGAAAATCTTTGACGCGTCATCATGCATCACGTCGGGAATTCTCACGGAACACCTTCCCGAATTGCCCGAAAGTCTTCTGATAGGTCGAAAGATGCGGGAGAAAGTCACACAAACGCATGCTCGTTCCTCAAGCTTTCGTATTTGGTTGTCAAGCTGAGGCAAGAAAAGAGAGTAGCGGTCAAGTTAAATTGTGATTGCTTCTCCGTCCGAGCGCCGTTCTTTCTCGCGGCAATTGGAGTTTGTCCCAGACGCCGCAAAGGCATGTCTGTGATCGCGTCAAAGCGTTAGGCGTGTGCTGTGCAATCCTGTCACTTCGCTTATGGGACTTCGATTTTTGGTGCGAGGCAAGTCGAGGGTGAAGCAAGAATGAGTTGGTCAGCAACTCAAACACACAATATGGTCGATTTGAGACTTGTCAATTTCGACTTGTAGCACAAATTCAGCTCCTTCATGGGTCTGTATCTGCTGAGCAATAACCATCTGTCTTTTTGACCCGGATCACATCGAGAAGCAGGAGTCTGTAGGGAGCTCGCTTTCAGCAAACATAAGCGCTTCGTACCCAGAATATGTTCCCACTGGCGACAAGATAAGCTAATTGATCTTCTTTGAGTCGCAGAATAGGTAATTTGCGTGCCTCTCCCGTGTGGCTCCTTTATGAAGTAGGCATTCCGGTGTGGTCTCTTCATCAAGTGGACATGACCACTTGATGCAGTTGGCAAGCTGACGAGGGTACCCAAAACCGCACTCACTGACTCGATAACTAGCGGAAACGCAAAATCGATTCCAAGCTCGAAACAACATACGAAAACGGAGTAGGACGTCATCGTTAAAATACAGTCTACTTGAATCGCTGTCCGCAGGCTTGTGCTTTCTGTGGCATTTTTGAAAACGCTTTTCTGTTACTTGACTGGCAATTCTGGGAAATTCGAGGTTCTAAGCCATGCAGCTCGCAGGTGAGGGGTTCCCTATCGACGTCCGACTTTACTCAGCAGCTCGTTGCTTCAGTTTGTCGCAAGTCTTTTGGCCATCGCTTCCAATCAGTTTTCCAACGTGAAGGTATGGGTCATCAACATCATTTCTTCAATGAACGGACTTCACGATGGAGCGCTCATGTACCAAGATGCTGGGAAGGAAATTGCAGGCATCATGCGCAACGGCCACTGCTGGGAGTCCTGAACAAATAGTAAGCATACGGGTCTCCAAGCAGCTCAAATGAAGGTCATCGGGGATGTGGCTAGCTAACAGTGGCATCTTGCTGGCTGGAACCACAGTCGTAAAAGTGCACAAAGTTCGAAATGCCTTTTCGAGACCAGTAGTGCACACCTCATTTGACATCATGGGCAAAACAAGATGACTCAGCGCGTTTGTTGCTGCCAAGTCCCATTTGCTTCCAGTCACGCGCTAAACAGCGCTCCGACATGAGGCTCAAATAGCTTTGAGCTCTTTCTTTCCTTTTCCAAATCAGGAATGCTTGATGTGAATCCCACCATCGAAATTCGATCGCTGAGTTCAACAAGCATGTCTTTCCAGTATTTTGTGACCAATGTTTGCCAGCGCACAGAGTGTATACATAATGAGTTCATGTGGCGTAAAGTTAGCATGTCCCATTTCAACTTGCTCTT